CGTGGTCTGGCTGCGAGCTTCCCTGAAGCCCCGTGCTGACCGAACCTGACACATACTACTGTATGTAAATACTCCATACTGTATTTATCAGCATATAACACACACAGGCACCTTAATTTTAAGAAGGAAGTTTGAGTAAAAAAATTTAAATTTAGAATAAATGACTTGGAAGCAAAATAAAGTGGATTGGGGGGTACAGTAATTTATTATTAGGGTATGCCTTCTCTGTTCAGTCTTTACTGACATCACCCGTGCGGTCCAGCACTCAGTGTGTACATGCTGGAAGTACTGCGAGCTTCCCTCCTCTCTCTGCAGTGTTCTGGCGTGTAGTAATGAGTCAGAGTGAAGTGCCAGCGCTTTGCTCTGACACACTGAGTGCCGGACCACGTGGGTGATGTCACTAAAGACTGTGAGCAGAGGAGGCACGGTTTAAGTGCCATCAATCGGAGGAGGAGGTGGTGGGAAGCACGCAGTTGCAGCCCTGGTTATAGCCCTGGCTCAAATGAAGGCTCCACTCTCCAAGCCCTGCCGCTTAAGGTGAGAAGCTGCAGGGCTTATACAGGGGCTTATACATCGGCGAATAACACACATATCTGCGTATAACACACAGCTAGGATTTCAGCCCCAAATTTTAGGGGAAAAAGCACATGTTATACGCTGATAAATATGGTATATTCTATTACTATTACGATACTATTCTCTATACTATTACTAGTATACTATTACTATTGCTATTATACTACTACTACTACTAGTCTGCAGCAGTGTTTTACTCTTACAGACCCTGGTCTGGCTTTAAATCCTCTCCCTCTCTCTCTCCCTCTCTGAGATTTCTTATATTATTAATGGGCAGCATGTAAAGCACTTGTACCATCCCAACACTGGGCTGGGCCTCTTCTTCTTCCTCTGGTCCCTTCAGTCTCTGTGAAGAAAGATACTTTCTTTATTTGGCTGCTTTCTCTGTTGCTGCTGCTGCTGCAGAGCTTCCAAAACATGCATCTCCTCCCCCACCTGTTTCAAGGTTGCAGCTTTACTGGTACCTCTGCGGGGCTGTCGCTGGGGAGCAGCTCAAATGGGAGGGGAAAGAGGCAGCACAAGGACCTGTACTTTTGCTAAGCAGCCTGCTCTTCCACACTGCTGTTTTTCCATCAGCTGTATTTCAGTCAGATACATTATTTTATTTCTTTCTGCACCAGCCTTTGCCAGCCAAATGCTCTTCAAGGTGACTTCCTAAACAGAGTTGAATCTGAATCTTTCAGGTCCTATCCCAACATTCTGAATGCTGTACCAAGCTGGCCCATACTGGCTCTAGAAAACAGTATTCAAAATCAGATGTAATGTTGGTTTTATATCAATCTTCATGGATATTTTCCCAGCACATCCAGACCCAGGTGGGGTGGAGTAGGGAAAACTAGTATTGATTCTTGACTTCCCTTTTTGGGGAAGACAGAAAAACTGAGGACCATAATAAGACCTGATTCTTACCATTATTGTGGGGTTAAGAACTTAACTAGTGACAGGCCAGAAAAGCAGAGAATTGGGCAAAGGGGCAGGATGCCAAGGAAATGACTGGACAATCACATCTCTATCCTGGTTGTACAGAAGTTGGACAAGGTCAAGCCCTGTTTTGCAGGGCTTGACTTAGGAAGCAAAGGTCACAGGGACTTTCATACAGAAGAGGAAGTTTCAATGCAAACATTAGAAGTAAAGTACAGAATCTTGGAAACTGCAATAGGAACCTCCAGCCCTCATTTGTTAGTGAGTTCATTAAAGTGAAGTCTCTTTGAATGTTTTCAATCTTTTCTTCCCAGACTTTTTTCAGCCTGGACTGAGCAATTGTTTATGAGATATGTAACAAAAAATTCCTCTCCTGTCTGCTTTATTTATTTATCAAATCGATATGGCTGCCCATCTCACACAAGGTGACTCTGGGTGGTGAGAAATAAAACCAACAATCAAAACTTACTATGAAAACCACTTAAAACAATTAAATAATTAAACATGAATAAGAACATTGGTTAGTTGGTTCCTCCTGTTACTTTTCCAGCCTCCCCACAATCTCCCATGACAGCTCACCTTCTTGATTTCTTTGTACCAGTGCTTAACGAGCCGTAGCAGACCTTTGAGCTTTGGTGGACGGCACTTCACAAAATTCCGCTGCAGCTCTGTGAAGGAAGTATTGAACTCCCCTGGCTTTCCATTGGCTTCAATCAGTTTGATATAGACCTCCACAGGTGGCTCATATGTAGCAGTTATCTGACCTGGGAAGGGAGAGGGAACTAAAGCAAGTTATCACAAGACCTTTGTGTGGTGCTGTGCCCTGTACTGTTATCTCATTGTGCATTTTTAAGGCCATCAACGATTGCCAGCCCATTCCCATGCCCCCACATAGGATAACTCTCCTGAAGCACGAGACTTGCAAGACTGATGTCAGCCCTTCAAAGAAGGCTAGTTCACAAAACAGATTCCACAGGACAACCAAAATTATACTTTATTGAGATAAGCTATAATAACAGAACCTTGCAAGCCTGATGGTGCTTCTCATCCCCTCTCTCTTATACCACAGGGACTCAGGGAGGAGTCATCCTGAGTCTCTTCGTAATACTGTCTCCCTTCCTAGAACTTACAGAATGCTTCTGTCATCTTTGTTTACATAATGTTTTCTGAATATTTGCTTCAAGGCTGTCTCCCTGACTCTCTACACTATTAGAACAGGATGTTTCAACTGCTCTGTGAAATGCCAACGAAGTGGGGGCTCCTCTATCTTGGGGGCAAGGTACTCCACAATGTGAGGACTGGCACCGAGAAGGCATGCCTCTGGGCCCCCTTGCCATATACTTCACATGGTCAGGACAGGTTGATTCTGGTTGGAACAGATGATCCTGCAAGAACATGGATGCAAAGTCATGTACAGCTTTAAAGATTAAAAGCAGGATCTTGAATTAGGCTTGGAAGCATATTGGTAACCAAGGGAGTCATCTTAGCGTATCTCAAACAACTACAACACTTACTTGCTACCATTAGTAGTCAATTCACTGCATTTTGGACCAATTGCAACTTTTGATTCTTCCAGGACAGTCCCATGTAAACCTCATTACAGTTGCCTGACTGTGAGGCAATAAGCACAAGTCTCCATTGCAAGAGCTTTGTAACCCTTGCTGAATACAGGGAACCATGATGGTTCCCTATATTCACCAAATGCCAGAATTCATAAGAAAGCTTGTAACTAGATTCCTCACCTAAAACATCATAAGCTGGAAGGATATCCACCTCTACCAACTCTGTCTTCTTTTCTGCCCTGATGGAGAGAGAAAGTGAGCGTGGGGGAGTTGTCCTTTGACTCAATGGGAAGATTTGAACGCTGAAAGCCATACTCTGGATAAACTTATTCAATTTCTCTTCAATGATCTTGATCACACATTCACGCTTCTCTACTTGATCCCGGAAGCTGGAGAAGCAGCTGAGGAAGATAACCAGATCAACATCTGAACTCTTATCCAGGGTTGTTCCTTTTCCTGCAGAGCCAGCCTGTAAAAAAAAAGCAAATGTTCACTCACCTTCTCTCTCATCATTTAAAACAGTAAGTATGTCACAAACTCTAAGAAAAATGAGAAATACTTGTACCCTAATTGTTGAATTAAGCCATAAGACTCACTGGTAGAGCTGGGTTTCTCAACTGCAGGCAGAAAAACAAGGGTATTTTGTTCATTTTTACCCCAGGTTAAAAAAATCTCAAACCCATCCTGTCTCCTTAAACAGGCGTTTGGCCACACTAAAATTTGGGTGGGAGATCTGTGGATTCGAAAGCAGTAAGCACACAAATGAGGAAAAAGTTGAAAGAGTTTATTAAGGAAAGTGAGTAGATAAATGGGGACTCTCACTCCGGTTGGAGGAAAAATGCTGGCGGCGCCTTGCAAAAAGGAGTTGGGAGCAGTTGCTGGTAAGCGCGAAAAACCGTGCGCGCCCAAAAAGGGCGCGAAGCAACCGAAACCCCGCCCCCTGCGCTCACCAGCTCGGCTTTGTTCTAGGATGGGGGCAG